TCTGAATGTCACAGCCTTGGAACACCTCTGGTGCTGTTCACCACTGTGAAAATGTGGAGTTGCCATGAATCTGAAGCAACTTGCAGTACAAAATGACAGCAGTCCCATGTCTACAAAATTAGAGGTAGATTTAGACACTGAATGAATACAGTCTCAGTCTTTTTGTTATGTGTTGGCAAGTCAACTCCAATTCATAGCAACTCTAAGTACAACAGATCAAAATCTTGTCTAACCCTGTGCCAACCTCACCACCCTGCCCAAGCCTGTGCCATCCTCTCCTGTGTTTAAATCCACTGTTGCTCTCACTGTATCAGTCCATCTTAGGGAGGGACTTCCTCTCCCTCCCTGATCCTCTACTTTTCGAAGCATGATGTCCTGATAGCATTCCCAAAGTATATGAGACAGAGTCTTACCTTATGGACCATACGAGCCCTTATCAATAAGGAACATCCTGACTGTCCTTCTAACACAATTTGTTTGTTCTTTTGGAAGCATATTCAATACTCTTCACCAACACCAAAGTTCAACGCATCCAATCTTCTTTGGTCTTCCTTATTCATGATCCAACTTTCACGCGCATCTAAATCAATTGAAAATACCACAGTTTTGGTCAAGCACATCTTAATCTTTAAACAAGTATCCCTGCTGTTTGTCACTTTCTTTTTCCACACCAAAGGTCTCACATATCAATTAGTGAATTCAGGTAGTGAGTCTCTTAACGTGGATGCATAAAAACAGACATTTTCTGTTGGAAGTGATCGGAATGTGACTTAATTTTAAACCTGATATTGTGGCACACCAGTCAACTTGGCATGGTGGGATGCTAAAGGCCTGAGGTAAACATGAGTTGGTTCCATAGTAGTTATCTAATGCCATCATCGTGTGCAACTCCTTAGAGACCCATGCTGATTCTTCTCCACTGTTTCCTTTTGGAATTGTACCTGATTTTATTTCCAGTTTTCATGCAAATCCATTGAGTAATGGGATAGTTCTGCTTTTGTTTCTTGACCAGGAAACTTTTGTTCCAGAAAATGTTATGAGAAGATAATAGTGACGATGGAATGGGGCTGCACTCAACCTGTGGGTGGACGAAAGGAGAGAAGTGCTCTTTGTCACTTTAAAGAGGTCTGAGTTATCTAATAGGAAGCTCTGGTGGCCTTGTCGTAGGAAGCTGCGCTGCAATCCCAAAGGCATGTAGTTTGAACATACCAGCTGTTCTGTGGGAGAAAGACGGCTATCTCCTCCTGTTAAATTAACTGCCTCTGAAAACCTGCTGGAGGGTCAGCTGTGGGTCAGTTCCAATTCTGTGGTACACAACAATAACTGCTATATAATGCTGCTTTAACAGAGATACCACAATTGGAGGCTTTGACAAAAATAAATTTACTCGCTTATGTTGAGGAGGCTAGAAGCCCAAATTCAGGGTGCTAACCCTAGGAGAGGTCCCCTCTCTATGTTGGTTGTAGCTCAGCATCTATAAAGCCTGCTTTCCCTGGTACCTCCAGGTGCCCTGGCCTTTCCCAGTATTAAGGAGTTCTAGTACACAGGGGCCTAAGTCCAAAAAGAAGCACTCAAACTCCTGATAATTATATCTTGATAATACTAGGAGTTTTTCTCTCTGCTACCTTTCCAGGGAGATCTGGTAGCCTAGTGGCAAGAGGCTGTGCTGCAATCCTGAAGGCACATGGCTCAAATCCCATGAGCTGCTGTGTAGGAGAAGGATGGGCAGTCTCCTCCCATGCAATCAACTGCCTCTGAAAACCCACTAGAAGGTCAGCTATGGGTCAGTTCCAACTCGAACTTTCCAAGTATTACCAATCACATCCTAGAGGAACTCCCCTTACATTCAATTAGGGCTTTGATTGAATTAGGGGAAGAAATCTAACAGAATGTGGAAATTATCGAACAATATCACTAATATCATATGCAAGCAAAATCTTGCTAAAGATTATCCAAAAACAACTAGGACCATACATCAACAGAGAACTGTCAGAAATACAGTTTAGAAGTGGCTGTGGCACTAGGGATATCATTGTTGCTGTCAGATGGATCATGGCTGAAAGTAGAGAGTACTAAAAGGAGTCTATATGTGTTTTATCAAATGATGTCTATTTGTGCTTTATTGGAGGAAGACTCATCATCAATCTGTTACGCAGATGACATAACTTTGTGCACCAAAACTGAGGAGGATTTGAAGGGTTTACTGCAGAAGTTCAAGGACTGCAGCCTTCAGTATGGATTGCATCTCAACATCAAGAAAACACTGATTCTAACACCAGGTCAAAATAGACAGTATCCAGACAGATGGAGGAAAAATTTTGTTCAGATCCACAATTAATACTATTGGCACCAATAGTCAGGAGGAAAGAAAAAGATTAATTGCGTTGAGAAAATATACCTGCAAGGACTGCTCTAGAGTGCTAAAGAACAATGATGTCATTGTAGAGACTAAGGTTTGTCTGATCCAGGCCCTGGTCTTCTCAATTGCTTGCTATGATCTAAAAGCTGGACAATGACTAAGGATGGCAGAAGCAGAATCAATGCCTGAGTTGTGGTACTAGAGAAGAGTACTGAACATACTATGGGCTGCCAGGAGAACAAACAAGTTTATCTTGGAGAGGATAAAACCAAGTTACTTTTTGGAGGCAAGGATTTTGAAGCTCTGCCTCACATACTCTGGGCAGGTGGGACCAGGCCTTGGAGAAGGACATCATGCTTGGAAGGTCAATGCTTTAGAGGGTCAATGCAGAAGAGGAAGACCCTTGATAAAATGGATTGACACAGTGACTGTGGCAATGGAGTCAGGTGTATTAGAGATGGTGGTGAGGTTGGCTCGGGTTAGGGCAATATTCACACCCATTGTCCATAGGGTCATTAGGTACTATAGTTGACTCAATGGCACAAAACAGTAACAACAACCACCTGCAGTCTTCCTACAAATATCTTATTTAACAGATCATGAGGGCTTCCATATTCTATCATTATGTATATGTATTTTGCATATAATTCAATCCATGACAAGGTCCTCGGAGCAGACTGGAGTTCTTCCAATACACCATTTGATTTCTTGGCTGTTTTTACCAGATATGTTGGTTGTGGGTTCAAGCAAAATAAAATCCTTGGTAACTTCAGTCTTCACTTCTCATAATGTTGCCTATTGGTCCCGTTCTGAGGATTTGGTTTTCTTGATGTTGTGGTATAACCCATACTGAAGGCTCTAGGTAGAAAAGGATGAAAGGATGCAGACTTTTAAAAATTCTTTCAGAGATAAGCCAGTGAAAATGTATATAGATCACTGAGTCTTCAAGCAGCAGCAAAAGTAGAACAGTGCTTTGGACAATGAGAAAACCCACTGCCCAGATTACATTAAGCATTTCTTTGCTGGTGGTGGAAAATGCAAAGGAAAGCTGAGTTTAGATTGTATGGATGTCAAAAAGCAGTGAAAAGCATTTAGACTTAATTACCAGATGGGAAAGGAAACCCCGTATTAGTGGGTTTAGGATGCAGAGAGAAAGAGGATGAAGAGTTTTGTTTCCTAAATGCAAAAATGACAGGAGAGAGTTGAACATAGTAAGGAAGAGCCAGGCTTCCTCCAGGCAAAATTGAGTGTCAGGAACCCAGGAGAAAGAAACACCGTTGTCTTATTTGGGAAGGTCTTTAAGGGTCCAGAGAAGGAGAGGAAACAGACAACACAGTTTCTGAAAGATAAACTGACAGAATTAGTACAAGACTGATTAGGGAGCTCTAGTGACACAGTCCATTGAGAGCTGCATTGCTAACCCAAAGATAGCACCTCGCTGACAGCTGGAATCCACCAGCTGCTCTTTGCGAGAAAGATGGGCAGTCTTCTCCCTTTGAAAACTCGCTGGTTGGTCAGCTATGAATGGGTTCTGACTTGAAGGCAATGAGAGAACTGGTTAGATATAAGTAGATGGCAGTCCTTCCGCGGATATAGAGAAAGCTCTTTGGGAAATACTTTATTGGAACTGCTACAGACACCGGTTGGTACAAGATCAGGCCCCTGGCCTAGGAAATCAGTCGCCAGAAGTCTGAGAACCGAATGCTCCCACATCCTATCCCTATCTTTAGAAAACCAAAGCAGGTCGGAAAAGGCACAGAAAACACACACACACACACACATACACACGGAGGATGTAACAAGAGACTAAATGAAAATGGACTACTATGAGCCTCTACTTTGGCTTGGTGTCAAATGAAGAAAAATCTAAACAAAGGCAAGTACAGAAAGAGGACAAAAAATTAAAACTGTGTGTTAGGACGTGTCGGTAAGTAAATACAAGCCAAGCTCATTACCGGCTGATGGAGGCCAGCTGCCTAAGTGCCTCGGGGTCTTCGACTCATAGCTACCCGTGTGCACAATCAATAGCTCTGAACTCTGCCCTATCCTGAGCCAATCTCACGGTCACCAACACACCTGCCCCCATTGCCCCTGCTATTGTGTCAATCCATCTCATCCAGGGTCTCCCACTCCTGCGCTGTCCTTTCAAACATGATATCCTTCTCCCAGGACTGGTCCTTACTAACCCCATGCCCAAAGTCTGTGAGGCGGCGTTTCAAAATCCTTGCCTCCAAAGAGCAACTTGATAGCACTCTCTCTAGGGCAGACCTGATTGGTATGTTCAATACTCTTCTCCAGCTCCACCACCATTTTTCAGTTTTCAAACTTGGGAGTCAGGTAAGGTTTGAGAACAACTTGGCAACTCACCGAACTGGGCCGGGGAGCAAGCTCAGCGCCCGCTGGCGGAGTGTGGTGAAGGGCGACTACCTGGGACGCACCGGGGGAGGCGGGCCCAGAGCAGGGACTGGTCCCCAGCCCAAAACCCTCCCCTTCGGCCCGGCCCGCCCCTTGGGCCGGGGCTGAAAGCCGGAAGCGAGCAGAGCGCAGTCGAGTCGAGAGAGCACGGGCGGAGGGAGAGTTCCCTGCGTTCCCACGCCGAGCCCCCGGTCCCGGCCACGCGCCCTCCGCTGGGTGCCGGGCCATGGGGGCCCCGCGCGGCGGGCCGCTCGCCCTCCCGGGAGCCGCTCTCAGCCTGCTGCTGCTGCTGACGGTGGCCGAACGGGGGCGCCCCTCCCTGCGGCTCTTGGACTACCCGGAGCCCGTCTGCTCCCAGCCGGTGAGACCCCAGAAAAGCGCCCGGAAAGTGCTAGGGCCCCGAGGGCGGAGGTTCGGGCGGCCGGGGCGGGAGGCTGCGTGTCTCGGGCTTGGGAGCAGGAAGTATGTGCTGGGGTCTGGAGTGTGGGGGTTCAGGGAGGATCTGGGGCTTGAGTGTGAAGATCTGGACGCCCTGGCGCGGACACTCGGAGCGTTGGGGGTCGTGGTGTGAACTCAAGAGGGAGTTTGAGAAGGAAAGATCGCGCGGTGCGCGCTGCACAACTCAAAACGCGGGCCCGGGCGGGAGGCGGGGAGTGACACCTCCACTGGAGCCCGGAGTTGGGGGAAGTAGGCGTGGACAGGCTGATTGGAAAAGGCTTGTGGCGCCGGAGACTTTCGGAAAGGGGCTGGTGGAGCTGCCACTTAGCGCATCCTACAACCTCCGCAGATCGGCTCAGACGGGACGCTCGAGTCCGACCCGGGGCTCGAGAGCGCCTCCTCCATTGTTGTCCTCATTCGAGTCCAAAGTTGCAGGGCGAGCGAGCACATCGCAGCCGAATTAGAAATCGGCTGAGCGCAGTCCGGCTCCCCCGGTTCCCCCGGTGTCCTCGTTCTACGTGGACGAGTCTTGGCGTCTCAGAGGCCCAGAACCTTGAGGGTGAGGCGAGACGTGTAACCTTTCACTGAAACTAGTTCGGAGAGTAACAGCAGAAAGCTGACTGGGATCTTCTGGCCGTCAGTGCTGCCTGCAAGTCACTTGTCAGGGGTCAGAGCCTTGTTTTTTAAGACACACCCACAGCACTGCACTCTGGAAACGAGGATAAAAATCTGTCGGATAGGGGATAGGACACACATACACACACCCGTGCTCCCACAGTGCGCGACACACCCACCCAGGGGCCACATTAAAGCATGTGAGGGCCCTAAACACAGATAATCCGTGATGTCCCCTCCCCTGCTTACTCACATATTAAATGAAATCTGTGAGATAGATAAGTGGTGGTAAGGTGCCAGCTCATAGCGACAAAGCAAACAGAACACATCCCTGCCTGATTCTCACAAAGTGTTGTGCTTAAGGCCCTTTGTTCCAGTCCCTGTGTCAACCCATCAATGACAAATATATTGCATATCATATACTATATAATTGCCTCTGAAAGCCCGCTTGAAGAGTCAGCTGCAGCTCGATAGCACACAACAATAGCAATATATACTACATATTGTATGGGATTTTTTTAAACAACATTTTATGGGATCTCTGGTAGCATAGTCTGTAGGGAGTTGAGCTGCTATGATGTACTGTAAAGTCAAATACAAAACATTGCAAACCTATAAACAATAGATAGGAATTTTCTCTATGCTCACAACTCTGATATTCTGGAGCCCATTGTTAGAGTCACTAAGTCAGTCCATCTTGTTGAGGGTCTTTCTCTCTTTCACTGACCCTCCACCTTTCCAAGCATCATGTCCTTTTCTAAGCAGGCCCCTCTTAGCAATATACCCGAAGTATGTGAGGAAGAGTTTCATCATCCTTGCCTCCAAGGAGCACCCTGTTTGCACTTTCTCCAAGACATATTTGTTTGTTCTGGCAGTCCATGGAGTACTTTTCCACCACCACAACTCAAAGGCATTGACTATTCTTATGTCATCCTTAGTCATTGTCCAACTTTTGGATGAATGTTCTTGTTAGGTACTGTTGAATCAAGTACAATTCATAGTGACTCTATGAACAAAAAATCTAAACCCTGTTCTATCCTGCACCATCCTCATACTTCCTGACATACAAGAGCCCATTGCAGCAGTCACCGTGTCAATCTACCTGGTTGAGGATTTTCCTCTCCTTTGCTGACCCTCCCTCTTTCTCAGTATCATGTCCTTCTCCAAGGAATAATACCTCCTAGCAACATGACCAAAATATATGAGGTGAAGCCTCATCATTCTTGCCTCCAAAGAGCACTCCAGCTGTACTTGATCCAACACAAATCTGTTTGTTCTCTTGGCCATCCATGGGATGTTCAGTGTTCTTCTCCAACACCACAGCTCGTCAGTTCTTTTACTATCATCTTTATTTATTGTCCAGCTCTCAGATTCATAGCAAGTAATCAGAAAGACTGTGGCCTGAATCAAATGCACCTTAGTTTTTAAACTGACATCGGTACTCCTCAATAATTTGGAAAGGTCCCTAACTACAGATTTTCCCAGTGCAGTGTGTCTCCTTATTTCCTAACTGCTAGTACCAAGGGTGTTAATTGTGGATCCAAGCAAGATAAAGCTGTGGACAGTTTAAGTCTCCTTTCCATCCATCATGATGCTGCCTATTGGTCCATTGGTAAGAATCTTTGTTTTCCTCGCATTGAGATGTAACCCATATTGAGATGCATTCCTTAATCTTCTGCAACAAGTGCTTCAATTGCAATTAATTTAAAAGACATGGCTTGGCTCTAGTGCACCTTAGTCTTTAAATTAACATCATTGCTCTTCAGCGCTTTGGAGATATCTTTTATTTACATGTTTGCAAGACTTTTTTTTTCTTGTTTGTTGTGTACCGTCAAATCAGATCCAGCTGGCACAGGAGGAGATCGCCCCTCCTTCTCCAGCAGAGCAGCTGGTGGATTCAAACTGCATGCCCTTGGGACGGCAGCATAGCTTTTTGCCACGAGGCCATCAGTGCTCCCTTGCCAGACATATTTTAAAGTTACAAATATTATTGTTTACAACACATAGAGCATAACTGTAAATGCTGTGAGGTTAAACAGTAACATGGTTGAATTTATTATGATGGTTGGCTTGTTGGAGTTCTCTCACTTTTGCTTCTTGTCTGGGACTAGGGTTTTTATTGATTGTTTACCAGAACATGTGCAAGAGCCTATCTTGTATCTTTTTATCATGGCAAAGAGCAAAGCTGGGCTTCCTCCTGGAGTTGACGGATCAGCAGACGTATAAGACGGTTCTCTCAAAATGGATCAGAGATCTGATAGATAGAGATATATAGATATGTAGATATGTAGATATATAGATATATAGATATAATCCATCCTTGTCCAGTAAACTACTCATTTTGGATTCAGTGGCATATTGAGTGAGTGTAGCTAGGGTTAAATTTGGCAATCCACTGAGATAAGGAGGTTTAATGATATAGGAGGAAATCCAAGGAGACCTGTCTATAAAGGTGTTGCAGTGATAGAGGCCTCATAGCTTAAATGTGGGTGCCCTCATGACTCTGCAGGAACTTGATTTCTAGCCAGCACATTCTCCTACAGTAGAACTGTTGTCACTTTCATTTAGCATCCTGCCAGTTCCCTTCCACTTGGCTGCTTTCTCTTCTTTGTATCCTGTCTTATTGGCATCTTTGGATCTTTGCTTTGAGCAACTGGCTCCCCTGTTTTGTTGATGCTTTAAGCAGTGCTTACGTTGTTTTTTGGGTAATCCATCCCTGCACCCACCTATTAGATGGTGGTCCTGTATGGAGGTCAACGACAATCTTAAGGAAGGAATGAAATATGTAAAACACTGTGCCTCCCTCCCAGATGCACTCCTTTCCACTCGCAGCTCCCTTGACCCCATGATCTCTAGTGTTTGTCAGCCCTCTGAGAGTAATGGTATCTGACTCAGAAGATGTGTCACAAAGGATTAGTTATCATTTAATATTGTAAAAGATTTACTGCAAGAGGGGGAGGGTCAGTGACTTTTAACAGATTATTTTAAAACTGAATGATGTTGGAAAACATCCTTGTGACTCTTACTGTTGGGCAAAGCAGGGAGACTTCGGCCGAGCAGATCCTTCATGCAGACTTTGTGTAAAAGTGTTTTAACACCTAGCACTTGGCGTTCATATTTTTATGGTCATTTGTCATGTGTAAGCACAGTACATGCCATTACTGTGTGAGAAACTAATCATAAATCGAGTAGGAGAATAAGGCTTGAAGTTAGGTGACTACCATACAAGGCATCCTCTAGCAAGTGCTCCCTGGACAAGTGAGTGTACAGAATTCCAGGGGGAAAATAAGTTATTTGTCCATTATAGATTTCTTCATGAAAGAAAGGACATTTAGGCAACCCTGAAGAGGGGTTGTGTGGGAGCTGGAAGACAGAGGTTGAAAGAATCATTCCAGGCTACACATTGGACCTAAACCAAGGCCCCTGGACAGGACAGATAAGGTTTGTAGCTGGAGCAAAGGGTCTATGTGGCAGGAGAGTAAAAAAAGATGCTAGGAAGGGAGGTGGTGGTTATTAATTGCCAGCCAATCAATTTTGACTGTTGGGAACCCCCTACGTGTAGAGTTGAACTGTTCCATATGGTTTTCAAGGCTTTGAACTTTCAGAAGCCAGTCTTCAGACCTGTTTCCCAAAATGCCTCTGAGTGGGTTTGAAGTAGCAATCTTTAGGTTAGTGGGCATATGCTTAACCCCTAAAAAGCAAAGTAGAGGCTTCGTTCTGGCATTGTTCTCATGAACTCTGACTAAAAGAATTTTTACTTTAAATGCCTTCAGTATAGGGCTTTTGAAAGTCTAGAACGGGACCCACAGCATAATTCCAGAGAGGGGTGGAGAGCAAGGATGGGATGTGTTTGCAACTCCTATTCTTGTTCTTCCTCCCCTTCCCTCTTCATAAACTGGAATCAGAGACCCCCTCACATCCATGGACAAGCAACTCCCCAGCTCTACTGACTGTTCTTTTAACAAGAAATAAACTACATCTCTCTTTTTCTCTCCTATTCTTTTGGCATCATGCTGTAAGGTTTGGTTTTACCCTTTTCCTTTTTCTTTCCAAGGGTCCTTTCCCACTTTTCTTTCTTTTTCACTTAACTCTTTTACGTGGCCTACCTTTCATTAGCTATGCTTCTTAATGCCTTAATGAACCTTTTTCACAATAAAAAAGAAAGAGATGGAGGGAGGGAGGAAAGGAAGGAAAAAGGAAGGAAAGGAACCACATCTATTCACTCTTCCACTAGTGTTTTTGTCTTACATATTTTAAACATCTTATCAAGAGAGGCCAATCCTTGGAGAAAGACATGCTTGGTACAGT